GATTGCCCCATCTTCCTTCCGAGGAGTGGCTGGTGGGTTTGAACCGCCAGCCTTCTGGTTAGCAGTCAAGTGCCTTAGGCACTATGCTACCAGGGCTCCCATATATAAATATAAATAAAAATAAATAAATAAATATATATATGTAAAACATGTGTAGCAGTTTCACTCAGCATCATGTTCTCCAAGTTCATCCACATTATTGTTTCATGGATTCTACATTATTCTTTAGTGTTGCATAGCATTCCATAGTGTGTATGTACCACAGTTTGTTTATCTATTCCTCCACTGATGGGCATTTAAGGCTGGTCCCATATCTTTGCTATTGTGAACAGTGCTGTGATGAACATGGGTGTGCATGTATCTATTCGTGTCCTGGCTCTCACTTCTTTAGGATATATAAATACCTGGTATTTGACTGCTAACCAGAAGGTTGGCGGTTCAAACCTACAGCCACTTCTTGGAAGGAAGGTTGGACAATCTACTTCCGTAGTGATACTACCTCAGAAACCCAAGGAGGGGTCACTGTGACTTGGATCAGACTCCATGGCAGTGTGTTTGATTTTTTGGTTTTTATATACCTGGTAGTGGGATTGCTGGATCAAATGGGTGGTTTATTTTCAGGGGGGCTCATCCCTGTGGTTTCATGTCTTAGCTTTGTTGAATCTGCTCTGGGGCCATTGGGTTTACTTCCATTCCAGGCCAAGTTCTTTGTCACCACTGCTGATACTATATATTGTTTCTAATTAACTTTTTTTAAAAAAAATCCAGTACCAATATCAAACTACTTGAGAGGGAGACACAACCCAAGCAGTAAAGATTTAACATTGGTATTTGGACAATTTCACATAATTGAAATTCTGTACAGTGGAAATTGGAAATTTAAGAAGGAGTTCTCATGAGCATTGTTGTGGGGCAGCAAGCCTGTAAGATCAAGATCAGAGTTGCTGATTGGTATTTAGTAGATATTGACATTCTGAGCACTTAAGAAGGCTAACTAGCTGGAAGGGTCCACTACAAATGATACTGAGGTAACCCTTCATTTTGCTTTTCCAAGAGGGTGACCCCTCTTGGATAGTGAAGGCCCCACCACTGTGGTAGAGAGACAATATAATCCCCATTGTGGGTAGCACCTTAATACACTGAAAGGAGATTACTTATTTTTAAAACCTCTTCTCCATTTTGTTCTCGGCCATTTGCTAAATCAGGCATTATTATTTATTTAGAGACAGAGGCTAGCTCTGGAAAGGGTTTGGCCCTAATCATTGTCTCTCCCTGTTGGCCCCATAGAAACAGTGTATTTCCTTTGCTTGTGTCAGAATGTTGGGGCAACCTTTTTTTCTGGCTGAACACAAAGAGGAGGCCAAGATACCGCTGGTCTGTGTGACTGATTTTATTCAGAGGGTGTGGAAGCCATAGGACTGGAGAAAACAAGAGAATGCTGTGAAAAGACATTCAGATGAATGATGTTAGTTAATTGCCATTGAATTAGTTACAACTCGTGGTGACCTTATGGGTAACAGAACAAAATGTTGCCCGGTTCTGCACCATCTTCATGACTGCTCATTACGTTTGTGTCCATTGTTGAGCTGTTGAGTCAGTCCATCTCATTGAGGGTTTCCCTCTCTTTTTCTGCTGATCCTCTGCTTTACTAAACATAATGTCCTTCTCCAGCAGTTGATCCCTCCTGATGACATGTCCAAATTAAGTGAGATGAAGCCATGTTTTCCTTGCTTCTAAGGAGTGTTCAGTTGTACTTCCTCCAAGACTGATTTTAGGTCAATAGACTGGCCCATCTACTGATTCCACTTACTTTCTAAATGTGGCTTGAATAGTTAATTGTGAGCTAGAAGTTTAAAATATTTTTTTTTTTTTCTTGTAACCAAGTGCTTGAGCTATTTATATATCAAGGAACAGCGTAGTAGAGAAGCTTTTTGTAGAACTGATACAAAAAGGAATCAAAGTCTTTCTTGCCTGAATGAAGGCAGTAATTAAACTGTCAGTGTTCTTGGTAAAATTCAGATTGATTTAGTATAGAAAGTTCTAGAAACAGAAGTGACCAAGTCATTGTCTGTTTTTACTGTAGCAGTAGAAGGCCTGAGCAGTAGAGGGTTGAGCCAAAGGACAGTGAATTTTCTCTGTGTTCTGTCATTGGTGTATGTAACTCATCTGGCATCAAAATATGTTCCTCAAAAAAGGGTTGTTTAAAGATCATTTATTTTTAAAATGAAAAGATGACATTTCTTATGCAAACATTTTTTGTCCTAACCTCTTGTGAACTCTAGAGATGCAATAACAGTGAAGATCTGTAGCTAATCCACATAAATCAATCTTTTGAGAGTGATGCTATAAGAAAGGGTTGAAATAAGGGGTGTGCAATTTTCCACCAATACTGAGAGAAGGCAAGATGTTCTTTTTGCAGATCTGTGTGATCTTGGGCTTTGAATCATGGGCCTTGGCAGCTGGCCCCTTGCCACAGGGTCTCTGTCTATAGTTAAATTTTTATCTGAGTGGGGCAAGTGGTCCTACAGTTGACAGAAGTTGGATGTAGAGCATACTTGGATGTGGAAGGGAAAGGGGAATTAGCTAGGGCCTGAGGAAGGAAAAGGAGGAATGTTCTATCCCTGAACTTTGTGACAAAATAATATTTGGACAATCTTTCCACTTGGTATGTTAGATTCTGGTAAATTCACTAGAGAATTAAAGAATTTTCTCTTCTTCCCCAAATGACATCCTGTGATGGGGTCAGCAGTTCCCTTAGGAAGGCCAGGCATCAGTTCAGCCTTATTCTCAGCTATCTTGATGACTCAGTTTTGGCCAAATACATAGACAATCTTTGGGACTGAAGGGAACCATCATCCCATTATCTAGTTCCCAGCATGCCCCTACCTCTCCCACTTCCTTTCCTCTCAGCTGGTGTACACTTGGCACCTGGCCTCATAGTTATCGGACACTGTGCTTACTCGGCATTCTGCCGAGGTGGGTTGCTGACCTCTTATTCTACAAGATCTGCCCCTATAGAGAGAATCATATTGCAGATACTTGATATTTCTCTGTTCAATAATAGCTATAAAAATCATCCTTCTAAAATGCTTTATGATTTGTACCAGGAGTCTGGTTTGGTTATTCCTGATGTAATTATTTGTTGTTATCTTACCGGTTCTTTAATCAGTTCTTTTTATAATTCTATTTTTGTCATTAATGTATAATTTTGTAATAATAAGGCATACACACACACACACACACACACATAGAAATCATATATTCTTTGAATTTCCCCCATATTATTGAAAACCATGATAGATGAAAAATATTTAGATAGGAGCAATTCTTTTGTGTTCTGAGAACATTTTTTATTTGTTTATTTTTTTTAACTTGTGCTATCTATAATTTGTTTTTCTCTGTAAGCCTCATTCCTTTAGCAAGACAATATGGCTAATGACTTTTATATATGAGAATGGAAATGTCTGGGGAATTTAAAATCAGCTGGTGTGGAAGAATAGACTAAAGCAATATTTAAAGAAGAAATCTTTGTTATGTGTGGAAAGAGCATAACAACTAGATGATGACAAGACAGAGTTTGCTGGTAGTGTTAGCTGTCATCCAGTTGACTCCAACTCATGGTAACCTTACGTACAACAGAATGAGACCTTGCCTGGTCTTGAATCATCCTTACAATTGCCAACATGTTGGAGTCTATCGTTGCCATTATGGTGCTAGTCTCCCATGCCCTTGCTGGCTTTCTCCTTCACCAAACATGATGTTTAGCTCCTGAGACATCTACCAGGAGGAAAAGATTTGAAGTGCTGTTTCTAGTTTTTATAATACTACATAAGAGAAAAGATGCTGATCTCAATGTTTATCCAAATTTGAAATTTTAAATTCTGATCCTTGCTAACTTACAAAGCCCGGATTGTTTTATTCTATAAAATAAAGAAGTGTATAATATGACTTCTCCTTGCTCTCTTTGTATGACATTTTATCTGTCCTCATGTCCCCTTAAGGTGGTGTCTTGTGATGTGGTTGGCAAAGCTATTCAATTCATTGCCTCTGCACTACCTGCCTCCCCTAAGGGCATGAGACCCCGGCTCTATGATGTACGGCTTTCCCCATTTCATTTGCAGGTAAGTTTTTCAAGTCATGGGAAAGCAGTCCCCAGCTGCTTGCAGGCTAAACATAGTGTGAGTTTTGTGGTCTGAATACCTGTATTTTCATGAACTACCTTTCCTTTCCTATTTCTCAGACTGTAAGCTTCTATATCATGTTGTATCAGTAGCAGATTTTAAAAATGTATTTGTACATAATCAAACCATGGCCATTGAGTCGATTCCAACTCATAGCAGCCCTACAGGAGAGGGTAGAACCATTCCCTAGAGTTTTCAAGGCTGTAAATCTTTATGGAAAAAGACTACCACATCTTTCTCCCATGGAACAGGCCAGTGGGTTTGAACTGCTAACCTTTTGGTTAATAGCTGAATGTTTAACCACCATGCCACCAGAGCTCCTGTATATTTATATACACGTGTGTGTATGTATACATATATATACAGTTATCTAATATATATATAGTATATTGGGAACTTTGCTAGCATAGTGCCTAAGGCACTTGACTGCTAACCAGAAAGCTGGCAGTTTAAAACCACCAGCCACTCCTCAGCTAGAAGGTTGGGCAATCTACTTCCATAGTGATACTGCCTCATAAACACAAGGAGGGGTCACTATGAGTTAGGTTGACTCCATGGCACATAACAACAACAACAACATATAAAGTATATCATATACTCTAATATATAATAATATAAACCCCCCCAAAAAAAACCAAATACAAAATGTAGTATATAATAAAAACCAACCAAATTCCAATTGGTGGCGACCCAATGTATTACAGCATGGACCTGTGCTCCGTAGGGTTTTCTTGGCTATAATCTTTATGGAAGCTGATCTCCAGGCCTTTCTCCCACCCCATGACACCACTGGGTGAATTGGAATTACAACCTTTGGGTTAGTAGCCAAGAGCATACTTGTTTGCACCATCCAGGGAGCCTTAAAGAAGTCCTGAGAGGATCACAATCACAAACTGAAGAAATGTCATCTCTGAGGTTGTGTTTTTCATATGGTAGTGTTCTTGCCCTTTTAGCTAATCAGACAGATGTAAGTCAATTGTATCTTTGATCTTTCAACACCCATTTAAAAACTGTATGTGAATTACCTGCCAGCACAGAGGTAGTTGCTGAAGATTTGGTAAATTATTAATGCTAAAGGCAAGAGGCATTCCTCTGCTCTGATGTTCAGCAAATCAAAAGCAGAGCCAGCAATCAGGATGACAGTACCTTCCACCTCCTGGCTGGGGGGAGGGAGGGGCAACTGGATCACCTGTGAAAATGAAATTCAGTGCATTTTTTCTATGATTACCTAGAATTTCAGTACAAGGAGTCCCTTGGTAGTCAAATGGTTAATATGCTCGGCTGCTAACTGAAAGGCTGCAGCTTTGCATCCACCCAGAGGTGCCTCAGAAGAAAAGGCTGGTGATCTACTTTTGAAAAATCAGACATTGAAAATCCTGTAGAGCACAGTTCTACTCTGACACACATGAGGTCATCATAATTTGGGGTTGACTCGATGGCAGCTGGTCTAGAACGAGGGAAAGAATGGAGGAAATGAAGCTGGAAGTCATCTGTTCTCTTATCTTGTTTTTGGCTTTAGAGTTGAAAATCCCTGAGCCTTCAGGAGTATAGTCTGATGATGCCATTCTTTCCTTCTCATCTGTTTTTGGGGGAATGGATGGTAATAGGAACAGCTAATATTTTTGCTTTAAAAAAAAAAAAACCCTCTGGCTGAAAAATGAAGGATATTGTATTAGTTTTCTATGGCTGCTATAACAAGTCACTAAAAACTTAGTTTAAAATGATACAATGTACTATGTTACTAGTTTGGAAGTCAGAAGTCCAACATGGGTCTTACTGGGCTAAAATCAAGGTGTCTACAAGACTGCCTTCTTTTCTGGAAGCTCTGAGAAAGAATCTGTTTCCCTGCTCATTTGGGCTATTGGTAGAATTCAGTTGTAGGACCAAGGTCCCATTTTCTTGTCATTTGTAAACTGAGGGCCTTTCCTAGCTTCTAGAAGCCACCTGCATTCCATGGCCTGGGCCCCTTCCTGCATCTTCAAAGCCAGAGATTGAATCTGACTTTACATCTGTCTCCTTTCTTCATTTTTAGGGACTCACGTGATTAGATTGGACCTACCTGGGCATTCTGGGATAATCTCTTGGTCTGTGCTCTCTATCACATTTGCAGAGTCCCTTTTGCCATGTAAGGTGACATTCACAGGTTCCAGGGACGAGGGCATGAGCATCTTTGAGGGCCAAGCACAGATGGATTGTGCTGGGTGAGGCAGGATCAGAGATCATGGCCCAGAAAGAGATGGCAGGGGTTCTGACCATCTCTACATGTTCTCTTCAGGGTATTGGGGGAAAGGGGAAGCCATGGCCAGGATTAGGGGTAGGACATCCTAGATTCTTTTTGTTACTCCTTTCTCCTTTATACTTTGGTGATGCTCCCAGAAAGAAATACACAGAGCACATCTAACTAGTCATTTAAAAAAGACCGCAGTGTTGTAATCTGGTCTTTAGCTACTAACGTTTAACTTCCTTTCCGAGCGGTGAGTTGAAACAAAGGAAGGCATTGGTGGGGAGGGGTATAATGGTGGATGGGGAGGTTGCAGGGAGTGTGGGATCCTTCTTCCCATTTTGAAAGCATATATTATGCCAAGGAAGAGGCTAAGCAATTTTCTGTGAAAGTAAATGAATACATGAACACATATATACATACCACACACATACAGTTTCAAACATATATACGTAAGCAGAGACAAACACATACTTACCACACACATGCACATCCATATTCATGCACAGTCACGCACCAGACACACAACCACTCACACATCCACTCACACATATCACATAGACACACACATACATACACCCCTCCACAGACATACACACCCCCCACACCATACACACAAAGACAAATAAACTCTCACACATATTGTTTATACACAGATAGAGACACACATCCACATCCACAATAACATACATACTCTATACAGACACACATACACATGCACCAGACACATATAGATGCATATGTACACTGGACACAAAAACACACATATATACTCTCACACATGCATACACACACTTACACAAACTCACAATACACAGAGACACATGTACACACATACTCATAATACTTTCTCACACATACACACATATACATGTGTGCACTCACACATATTCAAGCTCTGGTAAAAGGAGCAGACCTCTAATCACCGACTGGATTTCTCTTTCACAGCTGGAGCTGCACATGCAGGAAAAGAGGGAGGATATCCAGATCAGGTGGTCGTTCATCAGCGTGCCGGAAATGGCCATTCAGATCCAGCCCAAAGCCCTGTGGGAGGTCAGTCCGTAAGTTTCTGTGGTGTTTTCATGTGGTGTGTGTGAGAACATGTACACCTTGTAACAGCCACACCGGGAAACTGAGGCTCAGGTCAGCGATGCTTGCAGTGCCCATCCTCATCCCATGCCATCCCACCCAGGCTGATTTGAACCATATGGATCTGACTTTTGAGGGAACAGGTCCATGTGGGAGACAGTGGATTTGATGGGGGCTTTTGACCTGAGCTGTACCCTGGTATCACTGGGGCAGCTTTTAAAAGCCTGATATCTGGGTTTCTTCTGGGATACAGGTTGAATTGGTCTGGGAATTTTTTTTTTTTTAATTAGGATTTGGGTGAAGATTTACAGAGTAAATTCACTTTTCATACAGCAGTTCACATATACTTTGTCTCATGTCATTGATCAAAATTTACAAAGCAGCAGCTCCCCTCCCACTTCCTCCCCATAGTTACCTCCTCCCAGTGTCCATCCCTTCATACTCTTCTGCACCCTGAGCTATCTCCCTGTGCATAAGCAGCCCTTCCTTCTCCCATGATTGTTCTCTCCAGGGCGTGTGTCTACTTGAGGTAAATGTTTAACTCACATGCCTGTACTTTGTTTGGCTAGAAACCACAGTTGTGGGTTCAATTCCAGACCTGAAGGGCAGCTAGGGGCCATAGTCTCAGTGGTTACACCAGGCTCTATTGGACCAGCAAACCTGGTCCCCACCTTCTTTTTTTTTTTTTTTTTTTTGCCTCCAAATGATTTTGAGTTTTGTACCACATTGTTCTCCCTCTTTATGCAGGATCTCCTACATCCCTTCCAAGTGGATGGCAGTGGTAGCTGGGCACCATCTAGTTCTTCTGGTCTCATAGTTGTATAGGTTGCAGATCGATGGTGTACCAGTCGCTAGGACTGATTGTTTCCATTAATCTTGGTTTTCTTCTTTCTTCTTGATGAGGAGAGACCCGTTGTTGCATCTAGATGGCAGCTTCCTAGCGTTTAAGGTCCCAGTCGCTACTCGTGGTCTGGGAATTTTTTAAAGCACTTTTGTGCAACAAGATTGAGAATGATTGAGTTGATGAAGTCTTAGATTTCTGTTAACGTTCCGTCTAGCCTCATTATCAGATCACCTCTCCTACTGGTAAAAGCTTCCCTTTATCACTCTGTCTCAGCTCAGACCCTTGTTCCCAACAGCAGGACCTCCCTTCTTCCCATCTTTTTTGCAAGAACACATCTAAAATCTACAAGCATTCCACCTGCTGCTATGGTTTTGAGTGTTTGAAGATGTGAACTTGGGAGCAGGGAGTGGGGATAAAGTTAAATTGTTCTCATCACTTTCAGTGGCTGGAAAGATCATATAAAATCATTTATAGCAGAGGCTTCGTTTATTAGCTTCTCCTTTACCATGGCTGAGATCTTTCCTGGTGCTTTTACTCTATTTCAGTCTTGTTCAATTACTGACATATCACCACAGCCAAAATATGTGAATTTAAAGTTTATCTGCCAATAAATATTTTCACTTGTCATGCCTGAAACACATGTACATAATTTGTTTAAGCTAACAGATTAGAATTATGATTCTTAAAGAATTTAAGAATTTAAAATTGCTCTATCAGAATTATAATTTTTATCTGGCCGTTCAGTTATACAAGGCATGTGTATTACATATCCCCACTTCATACCCAATTTATTTTCTTTCTCTTCCTCCTTTCCGTATCTGTGTTCACTCAGGCCTACAGTACATACAACACCTACAAAAACTTTTATAATGGCTCCCCTAGTACTATTACCAGACAAAGTTCAAGGTGTCTCAACAGATCTTTTTGTCTCAGAATATATCCCCGAGGGGGTACAAGTTCTGTCCTCCAAAAAGGATTTGAACTAATGTTTTTTTTTCTGTGTAGTTATGCTACCAAGTTGATTGACATGACACATCCAACAACAACAATAAAGCTTATTTGCTTCTGTTGGTATCTAGTATTAGTTTTTCTCTCTATCCTTGTGGTTTAAATTTATTTTTTGAATATGTAAAATATTAACATGGACAAAAATTCAAAACTTCCTGGAAAGTTACACTCATAGCCCACTCTCTATCCTTATCCCTCCTCTTTTTCTATGCTCTGTATATAGTTACCTGTTCTGTTAGGTTTTGTTTCTACTTCCTGTGTTTCTTTTCAGAAAAACAGGTATGTGTGCAATTAATTGCACACGATCTTTTTCCCATTTCTTACCCAGAGGGTGATGATTGTTGTTAGCTGCCCTCAAGTTGGTCCCAGATGCATGGCAACTCCGTTCACAACAGAAGAAAATGTGTTGTGATCTATAAGGTTTTCATTGGCTGATTTTTGGAAGATCACCAGGCCTTTCTTCCTAGTCTTAGTCTGAAAGCTCCGCTGCAACCTGTTCAGCATCATAGCTACACGAAAGCCTCTACTGACAGATGAGTGGCATCTGCATGCGAGGTGCATTGGCCAGGCTATATATACTCTTTACACCTTGCTCCCTACTCTCCACCCTCAATGTCACATCTACTTCTGCAACCAATTCTTGGTATTATTGAGGAATATGGCTTTCACAGTGAAGAGATTCTGTAGAAATAAGCCAGCCCTGAGTAAGTAGCTTTCACGGGCTCAGTAATTGGTTCTCTTGGCCCCCTGGTGGGTGAGGAGGGCACCCTGCGGGGAGGAGGTAAGAAGCTGAAGGTTGGCTAGACAGCTGCTTGTAGACCTGGAACGTGATCAATCCTGCTATCCCAGGACACTGAAGCTCATCTTTCATCCTTGGATTTTCTCCTCTGTAAAGTGGGAGGAAATCATGGATATTAAGATAACTAGAGAAAGAAAATACGTTCTCCCGTACAATGGACTATTACTTGACCATGAAAAGGAATATAGTACTGATACATGCCACGACATGAATGAACCTCTAAAACAGTAGGCTGAGTGAAAGAAGTCAAGACATCAAAGAATAAATATTATGATTCCATTTATTTGAAATGTTTAGAATCCATAGAGACAGAAAGCAGACTGGTGGTTCCCAGGGGCTGGAGGCAGGCAGAAGGTAGTAACTGCTTAATGAGTACCAGGATTTTCTTTTGGGTAATGAAAATGTTCTGTAACTTGATATCAGGGGTAATTGCACAGCAGTGTGAATGCACTAAATGTCACTGAAATGTACACTTTAAAGTGGTTAATTTCATGTTAAGTGAATTTCATCTCAATAAAAGAGAAGGTCTGTATGTCTGACATACCATAATTTTTCACAAATATTGTGTGTGTTAGGTATGTTTTTTCCCCAAACCATGCAACCTCCTCACATGCTAGTTTTGTACACACACTGTGCATATTATTTGAGTGTACGTGTTATTTATGTAGGTGCATTATTTGTGAAAAAAAAATTACAGTATTCAAGAAACATGACTCACAGAATTTTACAGTTAAAATAGCCAAATTTTTGTTAGATATATTTTACCACAATACAATAAAAAAAAGATATGCTATAAAAAATAACATGCTTTTTTAATATATTCCCCAAATGATTCTTATATATTCCAATATTTGAGATTGAGTGTATAAACTATATTAAATAGTCATGTTGTTATTGTTGTTATGTGCCGTCGAGTCGGCCCCGACTCATAGCGACCCTCCTTGGGTTTCCGAGGCAGTATCACTACGGAAGTAGGATTGCCCAACCTTCCTTCCGAGGAGTGGCTGGTGGGTTTGAACTGCCAGCCTTCTGGTTAGCAGTCAAGTGCTTTAGCCACTATGCTACCAGAGCTCCCTAAATAGTCATAGCTATGCCAAAATTAATTGGTTTCTAATTTAGAATAAATATTGTTGACTGCTAAACAAAACAAAAATCTAAAGCTGATGTTAACACACAATCTTCATACAGAAATGAAAACTGCCAAGTGTTATTCCAAGTACTTGTTGTTGTTATATGCTGTCGGATCAGACCTGACTCAGCAACCCCTCCTTGGGTTTCCGAGGCGATATCACTGCAGAAGTAGATTGCCCAACCCTCCTTCTGAGGAGTGGCTGGTGGGTTTGGACCTCCAGCCTTCTGGTTAGCAGTCAAGTGCCTTAGGCATTATGCTACCAGAGCTCCTATTCCAAATACTTACTGAGTTCAAATAAACATCATTGTGGATTTTTTTTTTTTTTAAAAAAAGAGAGAGAGATATTGCCATAAAGTTAAAAGCACAAACCTCAACCACTTGGGTTTGACTCCTTGCTTAGTCATTTATGAGCTGTGTGACCCTGGGCATGTTAATTAACTTCTCAGTGCCTCAATTTCCCTATCTTTGAAATGAGGCTAATGATAAGTAAGGCAATTTGAGGACTAAATGAGTTAATGCATATTATGTGGAGGACTGAGCCTAGCACATCATAAGGACACTGTACTAGCTTTTTCGATGATTATTGTCATAGAGAATCTGGCAGAGAGTAAGTAGATTTTCAATAAGTGGCAGATTTGGACTCACTTTGCTGTAAAATGGCCTTGCTGTAAAATGGCCTGGCAGAGCAGGGACTACAAGAGATGAGGCAGTCATCCTTGGGAGAGTACTCCAATCTCTTAAAAAAGTCTTAAATAACATAACCTTGGACAACCTGTCCTGTTTGCCATATAACAAAACCTAACCAAAGGAGTGACTATCCTGTCACTTTTGCCATATCCTATTATGTAGAAGTGAGTCACGGTGATGGAATTATCCTTGGGGGTGATTTTAGAATTCTGCCTGCCACAAACAGTATAGATTAGGATTGCTGTCTTCGTGCTTTCTATAAAGGAATCATACAGTATGTTGAGCTGCTTTCAGTCAACATTATGGTTGTGAGATTCATCATGTTGTTGTGTATTGTTGTTGTTGTTGTTGTTGTTACTTGCTGTCGAGTTGGACCCGACTCATAGCGACCCCTCCTTGGGTTTCCTAGGCCGTATCACTATGGAAGTAGATTGCCCCATCTTCCTTCCGAGGAATTGTTGTGTATATTATACATTATTCATGTTTGGTGCTATGTAGTATTCCATTGTGTGGCTGCACCATGGTTTACTTATTTCTGGCTATTGATGGGCATTTGGGTAGTTTCCAGTTTGGGACTGTCATGACTGGTGGTGCTATAGAGATTCTAAAACATATGACTTTAAGTCTGTTGAGTATTAATTATGATAGGTTTACAGGTCTTAATATCTGGTAACATAAATCCTCCAGCTTTGTCACTCTTCTACAAACTTGTCTTCACTCTTCATGACCCTTTTCATTTACTTGAATACTTTCAATATCCAAAAAATATCAAATTTTATGTAAGAAAGGAGAACCACATGTTTGAGGAAAAAGACTGAAAGGATATACATAGAATGTTAGCATTTCTGTGATGCATGTGTCTTCATTTTTAGAATTTTTAAATAATGAGCATGAATTACTCCAGAAATCAGTAGAAAGGACTTTCTCTCCCAGGCAAGAATGATTAAATATCTTACTTGCTATAGTCTGGCTGTGGCAAGAACAAGTAGAGACCTAACATCAAATTTGCTTCAAATCAGGGATATAGTGAGGAGAGCTCTGTGTTTTCCCTGTAATTTTGCACAGGAACATGGTGATAAAACGATTAATGACTCTTTTCTTTTTTCACTAGGACCAGCTGGTGGGTGCTAATGAAATATCTGAAACTCTCAAGGATATCTTGAAGCATCTGGTTTGCTCTGCTTCCCCATCAGTGGTTCTGAGCACAAAGCCCACAAGTGTTAAGGAAGTTCAGGTAAACCCGTTTATGGGGGTGGATGCTTGTGAACCCCATGAAGGACCATGCTTCACCTCTCCTGGAGAAATTGTACATTTCTAATGGCCCTCAACCTCTGTGGCAGAGCTGAGATGTGCAAATGCTTGCTGATCAGTCATGACCATGGTTACAGGTTGGAAGGAAGACGTGCTGGGCTGCCCAGGTTGGGCCACTCTGCATAGTACCACTTTCATTTGGCCCTGGTTCTCTGGTTTCCAGGAGCCCAAACATGACTTTTGACTGTCCATTCACAGCCTGCCATTCTAGATCTCATGCATTCCAGGATGAAGGTACCTGGGAAGCCAAACTAGTCCTGAGAACATGGTGCCAGAAGCAAGCAGAGCAAGGTGCACTGGACAGACTAAGATTATTTAATCCAGGCTGAGGAATAATGGCCAGGCAGCCTGAGGAGCCCTGCCTGCAACAGCCTCACCCTCTTGAAGGCAAAGCTTATCTCCCTCAGGCAGGGCTGGACCAATGAGGCCAGTCTTCTTTGTGTGACCTCTTGTCCATATTGCTGTCTTCCCTCCACACTCTGAGCATGCTGTGCCATCTGATTTGGTTGCTGATTCTCTGGGTAAATCATTATTTAGAGCACTTGCCATGATCAACCTCATTAGGCCCGAACTCTCAAATGTTCCTTGGCAACACATCTTCAAACCTTTGGTTAAGGTACATTAATTTTCTCAACTATGAGCTGATCTTTTTATTATGATTATGGAAAACATGCATTTATTGTCCCTAACTTTATATAAATACACACACACACACACACATATGTATCTATTAAATAATATCATTAATATCATATGCAAGTAAAATTGTGCTGAAGGTAATTAAAAAATAGTTGCAGCAGTAACATTGACAAGGAACTGGTAGAAATTTGTAAGAGGATATGGAATGAGGAATATCGTTGCTGATGTCAGATGGATCTTAGCTAAAAGCAGAGAATATCAGAAAGGTGTTTACCTGTATTTTATTAACTATGCAAAGGCATTTGACTGTGTAGATCATAACACATTACGGATAATACTGCAAAGAATGGGAATTCCAGAACATTTAATTGTGCTCATAAGGGAACTGTACCCAGACTAAGAGGCAGTCGTTTCAACAGAACAAGGGGATACTGCATGGTTTTAAATCAGGAAAGGTATGCATCATGGTTGTATCCTACCATACTTATTCAGTCTGTATGCTGAGCAAATAATCCAAGAAGCTGGACCACGTGAAGAAGAACACGGCATCAGAATTGGAGGATGATTCATTAACAACCTATAATATGCAGATGACACAACTTTATTTGCTGAAAGTGAAGAAGACTTGAAGCACTACTTACTGATGAAGATCAAAGACTACAGCCTTCGGTATGGATTACACCTCAACATAAAGAAAACAAAAATCCTCACAACTGGACCATTAAGCAACATCACAATAAATAGATAAAAGATTGAAGTTGTCAAGGATTTCATTTTACTTGGATGCACAATCAATAGCCTTGGAATCAGCAGTCAAGAAATCAAACAATGTATTGCATTGGGCAAATCTGCTGCAAAAGACCTCTTTAAGATGTTAAAAAGCAAAGATGTCATTCTGAGGACTAAGGAATCCCTGACTCAAGCTACTGTATCATCAATCTCCTCATATGCCTATGAATGCTGGGCACTGTGTAAGAAAGACTGAAGAAGAATTGCTGCCTTTGAATTATTGTGTTGGCAAAGAACGTTAAATATACCATGGACTGCCAGAGGAATGAACCAATCTGTCTTGGAAGAAGTACAGCCAGAATGTTCCTTAGAAGCAAGGATGGTGAGACTTCATTTCACATACTTTGGATATGTTATCAGGAGAAGGACATCATGCTTGATAAAGTAGAAGGTCGGTAAAAAGAGGAAGCCCCTCCATGAGATGGATTGACACAGTGACTGCAACAATGGGCTCAAGCATGGGAATGATTGTGAGGACAGTGCAGGACGGAGGAGTGTTTCGTTCTGTTCTGCATAGGATAGCTTACATAGAGTCTCTGAATCAGAACTGACTCAGCAAGATCTAATAACAACGTGTGTGTGTGTGTGTGTGTGTATCTAAATATATTTAAATATATGTACAAATACATGTTGTTGTTGTTAGCTGCTGTCAAATCGGCCCCTAACTCATGGCAACCCCATACATTACAGAGTACAACTGTTCCTTAGAGTTTTCTTGACCGTAATCTTTATGGAAGTAGATTGCCAGCCCTTTTTTCCACAGAGCTGTTGGGTGGGTTTGAACCACCAACCTTTCACTTAGCAGCTAATTACAAACTGCTTGCAATACCCAGGCTCCTTATAAATAATAAGTATTATATTTATTTATTTGTACTTTTTATGTAGTGTGGTGGAAGATCCATCTTTATTGTTCTTGGTGAAGTCTGTTTGAAAATCTAACTTTCAGATGATTTTTAGGATGTAAGCTCTTGGTCTCTGGTCCTTTATATGGTAGGTGTCATAGCCATTAGTGTGTAGAGTCTAGAGACTCTGGTTCCTTGGCAAATCCCAGCTGAGTATGTGTTTTGTGCTCAGTCCTGGGCACTGGAGATTTTGAGAATATCAGACACTATTCTCACCTTCTTGATGCTCCTAGCTCGGCAGAAGGAGCAGACGGGTGAACAGATGAGAGCAGGAGGTTCTTTCTCATGGATGTTGTACAAGCTTCCTAGCAGCACAGGCCAGGCTGGAGGGCCAGTCTCCCCACAGGGAGGGGTCAAGCCTGCTCCCCTAGAGGTGAGGGCAGAGCAGTGGCCCTTTCTGTACTTTTGTCCTGATGGCTTATTTCAGATCAGCAGTTCCTGACCATTTTTGAATATGAGAATAAATTTTGAATGCCAGCATTAGAGAGATTTCACAAAATAGTAGTATATTTTTTAGAATGCACTGATTCAGAAAATGAAAGGACCAAAGCTACCACAGACTAAATAATACTTTTAAATAACTTAGCATGTTTTATTTCTCAAAATAGCATACATATACAATTGAAAATATTTTCATCTCTACCTCAGGCATGTGGATTATGCAGTGTCCAGCATTTGTGTGCCTGGATTTTAGAGACTTTTACAATGACTTCTTGATTCCCCCCAAGGAGCTTTGGTGGCATGGTGGATAGGGCATTTGGCTGCTAACCAGAAGGTCAGTGGTTCAAACCCACCAGCCACTCCATGGAAGGAAAATGGGGCAATGTACTTCCATAAAGATTTATAGCATCGGAAACCTAATAGGGATTGCTATGAGTTCGAGTCAACTCGATGGCAGTGGGTTTGGTTTTGGTCTTGATCCCCTAGCCCCCTTCAGCTCACAGCTGGGAGCTCCTGCCTCAGAAAAGTACTTTCTAGAATACCAGTGTTGCATGACATGTTAGTTAGCTCTCTGCCCAAAGCGCATTCTGAGGTCAGATCCACACCTGATACTTACTCCTAGAATATTCCACCTAAAGCACTCCCAAATATTGTAACTGAGGAGCCTCCTCTGAGGAAAACTCTCAGTATTGAGTGAAACATGGAAGCTGGTTTGAGATCTGCTGGTTTTGAAGGTGGGTCCTCCAGTTGTGAGGGTGCTTTTTGTTGGAAACACCCTGATGCCCATTTGAGGACATCAGGAGACTTAAGCTGATCCCAAATGCACCTGCCCTTCATTCCCTCAAGCATGCATTGCCCAAATGGTCTTTAGCTCTTCCCTAGATGGACTCTGGCCTCTGCCTGGAGGTGAGCTGAAGAGCTCTAGCCATTTGCTTCCAGTTGGTACAGACTCCTTTGCTAGTGAGCAGTGGGCAGAGGGCACCTGCAGCCTAGAGAGGGTGTCCTGATTCTCTTAAGCACTGCCCCAGGCCAGAGATTGTGGCCTCATTGTAAAATTTGCTCCCACGATGAACCTATAGTGAGATTTGGAGAGAACTTTCTCCATGGCAGAAGCATTATTTGCTTTATTTGAGAAATCAAAGGCTTCCAATGAGTCCCTTCCTTCTCATTTGAGTCCCTGGGTGCAAATGGGTAAGATTCTTGGCTGCTAACCAAAAAGTTGGAGGCTCAAGTCCATCCACAAGCACCTTGGAAGAAAGACCTGGTGATCTATTCCACTGAAAACCCTATGGAGCATAGTTGTCTGCTGACAAACACAAGGTCTTCATGAGTTGGAGCTGACTGGACAGCAACTGACACTGGTCCTTCCCATTAAAAAGGGCAGCGTTAGACTGTGTAGGTGTTGCAGAAGATCTCTCCCCAAAATAGTCCAGTGGCTGCTTCCTCAGCCCTATGTCTTTCCTACGGGTCATGCCCTTTGTTTTCCTTTTTGCAGACTCTACAACGCACTTCCTCTGCTCCTCAGGAATCCTGCCCTCCCAAACCTCCAAGGGCCCATGAGCTAAAACTGCTGGTGAAGAACATCCGAGCCTTGCTGCTAAGTGACTCTGGTGCTTCAGGTAGTGCCAGCCTGGCAGAGGAGTTTCTGAGATGATGGTGGGGATCCCAAGCTGTCTTGGCAGTAGGAGCACAGGGTGGGAGTGGCTTCTGGGTGCTCAGTGGCCTTTGGTTGCTCCTGTGGCCCTATTTAGATGTGTGCTCACGTTGGGGAGTCAAGTGAAGAAAGAAACACGGTCATTGGTGTTCCTCTTTCTTATAGTCTTAACTATTTAACATGTGAAATACATATTAACATCCCTGACAGATGTGTGGCTTTTGTTCTTCCTAGAAAATGAGATGTCATGTGAGTAATTTCCAGGATATCAGGGCACTAGGTCATCAGGGACCCTTGGTTGCTATGAGATTAGAGACTACTATCTGAGTAAAGACAAGTGTTGTGAACAGATTACCCACTTTCCATGATTCTGAGGCTCAGAATGTATGGAGCCTGGTTAGAGTGATGACTTTCCATAAGGCATTTGACTGTTAACCAGAAGGTTGGCAGTTCAAATCCATCAGCTTCTCTGTAGAAGGAAGATGGGGCAATCTAGTTTTGTAAAGATTTACTGCCTCAGAAGCCCAAAGGAGGTTGCTATGAGTTGGAATCGACTCAGTGGCAGTGAGGTTGGTTTGGGTTTTTTTAGAAGGGTAGCGATTCATTGAGAATATTAAGGGTTATTTATCTTTATTTGCAAGGAGCTTCTTTTCCTGTTTCCTAAAGTACAAACTTGCTGTTAGGTGCAGTCGAGTTATTTTCAACCCATAGTGACCCCATATGGTGGAGTAGAACTGCCCCGTAAGGTTTTCTAGGCTCAGATCACCAGCTCTTTCTCCTGCAAGCTACCGTATGGGTTCAGACCACCAACCTTTGGGTTAGTAGCCAAGAGCTCTGCCATTTGCACTACCAGGAATTGTTAAAAGTATAGATTGGCCACATTTAACAACCAAAACTCTTAAATGTTTTTGAAAAAAATACTTAAATGTTGCCCTTTGGAGGCCATGCTGCTTAGTGACTGAGAGTGGATTCCCTGGAGTCAGGTAACTGGGGTTGGAGTTCCGCTCCAGCCCAGACCTGCCCATTACTCCAGATCCTGTTACTCACCTTTGTTGGTCTGTCTCCCATCAGGGTCCAAGTCTCCCCTTTAGTATTATTGTGAATATTAAGTTAGATCATGTGTGTAGAATACTTAGGACTGCCTGATGCACAGGAAAGGATCAAAATATTCTAGCATTTATTGATTACACAGTGTATCCAGGGCTTTGTGTCAGTGAAATGTCCCCCTATCTGGATCAAATACGCAAAAAAAGCTGTTGGACTGAACTGAATCAGGTAAAAATTTTAAAAAACAGCAACAGTAAGTCCATTCTGACTCATGGTGACCCTGTGTATATCACAGTAAAACTGTGCTGAGTAGGGTTGTCAATGGCTGGTTTTCTGAAAGTAGATTGCCAGGCCTTTCTTCCAAGGTACCTCTGGGTAGAATTGAACCTCCAACCATTTGGTTAGGAGCCAAGTACGTTGTTTGTTTGCACCACTCAGGTACTCCAGGTATAAATACACAGATCCATTTGAATGGGAAAAGGAGTTCTCTGTGAGGTGCTCGTGCATTTTGGAGCCATCTCAGAACTTTCGCTGGCAAGCACCTCATCTGCCCTGAAGCTGGGATATGCCTCTGCTACAGTGGTATCGCACTGGAGGGTCCCCTTCCTGCAGGCTGTGCCTGCAGACAAACTGCCCTCAGGGAGAAGCAGGTACACTTGGGGTCAGCCCTGAGCTCTTGACATCAAGTGCCAGTAAAGTTCTTTAGCCCCACATGAATGCAGTGCTGTGGGAAATTTTAAGTGGTAAATGAAAGAAAAAATGGACTCTCAGGTAGAGGCAAGCCAGGACTTTATTCATCTGTTTCAGCCTTTCTTAATAGGTTAAAAAAAATGTTTTAAGGAAATTAAAAAATCAAAGACCGTGCCCTGTTATTTGATTGCAGGTAACATGAACCCAGTATGCACAGCTCAGCTGAACGAGCCCCCTCAGAGCTTCTCCAGCTCCCCAGCAAAAAACACTACTGACCTCACTTGGCAGGAGGAGTTCACCTTGTGAGTACAATATACCTATCCAAGACTGCCAAGTCCTGGAATTGTTTTGTAGCACCATTTTTATACCTGGCCCCCAATAACCCCCCAAAAAAGGTATATATTAACCATCTGAAGTAGTTTTAAATCAAACATGGATATCTCTTTTTTCATTGAGGTAAAATTCACGTCACATATAATTAATTATTTTAAAGCGAACAGTTTGGTGACATTGTAAATTTAGTACATTCACAATGTGTTACTACTGCCTCTCTCGAGTTTCAAAAGTTTCATCATCCTAGAAGAACACTGTCTTAGTTATCTAGTGCTGCTGTAATAGAAGAGGGTGGCTTTAACAAACAGAAATTTATTTTGTCACAGTTTAGGAGGCCAGAAGTCTGAATTCAGGATACCAGCTCTAGGGGAAGGCTTTCTCTCTCTGCTGACTCTGGAGGAAAGTCCTTGTCTCTTTGAGCTTCTGCTCCTGAGTGATTTTCATGTGGCTTGGCATCTCTCTCCCCCCATGTCTGCTTCCTTGCTTGCTTGTTTAATCTCTTTTATATCTCAAAAGATAACATAACAAAGACATTAACATAGCAAAGACAACCCATACCCAGACTGGATGATAACCATACATATAGAGGTTAGGATTTCCAATACAATTTTTTGGGGGATACAATTCAATCCATAACAAACACCCTGTGCCCATTAAGTAATCATTCCTCATTCCTCCCATCCCAACCTCAGCCCTGACAACCATTCATTTGCTTTCTGTCTCAATGAATTTGCCTATTCTGGTTATTTCATACAAAAGGGACCATACAATAGGTGACCTTTTATATCTGTCTTCTTTCATTTGGCATAATGTTTTTAAGATTCATCCATGTTGTAGGATGTATCGCAGGAAAAAAAGGCTGTCACAGTTCTACTCTGTCTTATAGGGTTGCTGTGAGTCAGAATCGACTTAGTAGGAGTGGGTGGGGAGTGTGTATCAGAACTTCATTCTTTTCTATGGCTGAATAATATTCCAGTGTATGGCTATACCACATTTTGTTTATCTATTCATCCACTGATGAGCATTTAGGTTATTTCCACGTTTGTCTTGTTTATGAATAATGCTGCTATGAACAGTCATGAACAATCATCTGTTTGCGTTCCTGTTGACAGTTCCTTTGAGTATATATAGAAAAAGGAGCTCTGATAGTGCAGCACCTAAGGCATTTGACTGTTAACCAAAAGGCTGCTGGCTCAAACCCACCAGCTGCTCCACAGAAGGAAGATGGAGCATCTACTTCTGTAAAGATTTACTGCCTTGGAAACCCAATGGGGGTTGCTATGTGTTGGAATGGACTTTTTTTTTGTATATACAGAAAAACCTAATCAGTTGCCTCAAGTTGATTCTGACTCATGGAAACCCCAGGTATGCAGAATACAGCTGTTCTATAGGGTTTTCAAGGCTATAACCTTTCAAAAACAGATTGCCAACTTTTCTTCCAAGGTGCCTCTGGGTGGGTTTGACCCACCAACCTTGCAATTAATGGCTGAGCACTTAAAACAATAGTCCCATCCAGAAACTCCCTTGGAATAGAATTGCTAGGTCATGTGGTAATTCTGTGACTTTTTAAGGAACACCAAAATGTGTTCCATAGCAGCTGTACCATTTTACATTCCCGCTAGCAGTAGATGAGGATTCTGTTTTCTCCACATCTTTGCCACCATTTGTTATTTCCTTTTTGTTTATTTGTGTGTTTTATATTACAGTTATCTTAGTGAGTGTGAAATGATATGCCATTGTGATTTTGATTTGCATTTCCCTAATGACAAAAGATGGTGAGCAACTTTGCATATACTTTTTGGCCATTTTTTTATCTTCTTTGAAGAAATATCTATTCAAATCCTTTGCCCATTTTATAATTTGGGCTTAGATTTCTTTTTAAAAGTAGTTCTTGGTATTGATTTCTCACTTTACTACAGTCTCATGCCTTGTTGTGGTTTTAGCAGAAGAGAACTGTTGCTAAACTTCCCAATTGCCTTAAAAATACACACCTATCCAGAGCAGAGCAGAAGGAAACTGATTCATACCAAAATCTAGCAGAGGGAGAAGAAAAAGAGAAAGCAAAGACAAATTTCACTTATAAATAGTGATATAAGGATTTTAAATAAATTATTGTCAAGTTAAATCCAGCAGTACATTAAAAATAATGTATGGGAATCAGTTGAGTATAGTCCAGGAGCTCTAGTGGCATAGTGGGTAAGGCATTTGGATGCGAATCACAAGGTCAGCATTTCAAGTCCACTAGCTGCTCTGTGGGAGGAAGATGCAATAATTTCCGTAAAGATTTACAGCGTCGGAAGCCCAATGGCAGTTGCTATGAGTTGGAACCGACTCAATGGCAGTGTTTTTTTGTGTGTATTTAAAATGAAGAAATCAAGTAATGTATTATATCACTAGATCAAAGAAGAAAATAATCTTATCATCTCTATATATGTCTAAAATACATTCTGTGACATGTAACACCTACTCCTGATTTTTTAATTTCTTAATTAAAACAAAATATATGAACACTTCTTTAATAATATAAAAAAAGAAATCATTGTAAAGGGTAAATGCCAGAAGTGTCCCCACTAAAGTCAAAAGAAAGATGCCCACTGTTTTGTTCTAAAAGTACTGGCTAATGCAGTTAGATAAGAAAAAGAAATAATATACAAATATTGAAAGGAAGAGGCAGAACTAATCATTACTTGGGGATAGTATTGCATATCTGGAATACTCTAGAAAATAAACAGAATTATTAGAAAAAATAATTGGTACAGGATATAAATAAATAATATTAGAAAAACTAGTAGAAATATTAATTTAGTAAAGTGGCCGACTACAAAATTAGAGAAATCAGTTACTTTCTGATACTTAAACATAAGCATTAGAAAAAGTCATGGAAGAAAGTATGGAAGTGTGTGTGTGTACAAGAAGTTTTTTTTTTTTTTTTAATTTTTGTTGTGATTTGGGTGAAAGTCTATAGGGCAAATTAGCTTTCCATATAGCAGCTCACATACATTTGTCTCATGACATTGACTACAATTTCCCCAGTGCAACAGCTCCCCCTCCCACTTCCTCCCCATAGCGACCTCTTCCCTGTGTCCTTCCCCTCCATGCACTCTTGCCCCCAGAGCTGTCTCCCTGTGCATACACAGACCTTTTATTCTCCTACAATTGTTCTCTCCAAGGAGTGTATCTACCTAGTGTAAATGTTCACCTCGTGTGCCTGTCTTTTGTTTGGCTAGAAACTACAGGAGTGGGTTCAGTTCCAGACCTGAACAGCAACTAGGGGCATAGTCTCAGTGGTTCCATCAGGCTCTTATCAGACCAACAAACCTGGTTCTTTTATTTTTTTATGATTTTGAGTTTTGTTTCACATTGTTCTCCCACTCCGTCCAGGATCTCCTATGGAGATCCCCTTCTGAGTGGTTGACAGCGGTAGCCAGGCACCATCTAGTACTGGTCTCATAGTCATATAGGCTCAGGATCACACAGTGTACCAGTTGCTTGTATGAGGAATTTTATAAATCATTAATACAATTTTGGATACTTCGTTAGAACACTGGGCAAAATTTCTGAACTAGAATTATAAAAATTCAAACTATTAATGGCCAGCGATTTCTGAAAAGATGTTCAATCTCAGAAATAATTAAAGTGAAATAAACTTAAACAAAAGAGAAATGATTTTTCACCTTACAAGTTGGTAAAAAATAATGACTAGTGGATGTGTATATTGGAATAACTGTTCTGGAGGTTGGCCATATGTATTTACAAATCTCTTACATCTGTGTATCTTTTATTGGCCCTTGAACAATGCAGGGGTTAGAGGCACTGACTCCCTGCACAGTTAAAAATCTATTTATAACTTTTTATTCCCCCAAAACTTGACTACTAATAGCCTACTGTTGACCAGAAGCCTTACTGATGACATGAATAGTCAATTAACACACTTCTTGCTGTACAGTTATTAGCTATTTCACACAAGGACACACACATACACAACAGATGAGTTTATTAACTGTATGGCATGATAATTGTCTACTTTTCATTAAGTGGAAATAGTTCATCATGAAGGTCTTCATCCTCATCTTCACATTGATTAGGCTGAGGAGGAGGACAAAGAAGGGGTTGATCACCCTGCTTCAGGAGTGGCAGGGGTGGACGACGTAGAGGAGGCAGAAGAAGAAGGCACACTTGGTATAACTTTATGGAAATACATTATAATTTCTCTGGCTTTTTTTTTTTTTCCATTTCTATAAAAATGTTTCTACGTGGAACCAATCTTTCTTTCACTGTTTGCTTTAGTTTCCGTGCCATAGAGAAGGGTCCATGTTGTAAAAGAAGTCAGAAGCAGCCTAGAATTATTGGAAACCTTCTGTCTGATTGTCTGATGTCAATTTGTTTCCTGGCACTGTCACTTCTTTGTCTTCTTCCTCATTGTCTGTCACTGGCACTCATCTCCACCAAGTTATTTTCTGTTAATTTCTCTAGAGTGGTGTTTATTAGGAGCTCTGGTGGCACAGTGCCTAAGGCATTTGACTGCTAACCAGAAAGCTGGTGGTTCAAACCCACCAGCTACTCCTCGGAAGGAAGGTTGGACAATCTACTTCCGTAGTGATACTGCCTCAGAAACCCAAGGAGGGGTTGCTATGAGTTGGATCCGAGTCGATAGCAGTGAGTTTTTTTTCTTTTTTCCAAATTTCTTCAACATCTGTATCTTGAAAAAAAGTATAAATGGACTCACACAGTTCAAACCCTTATAGTTCAAGCGTCAACTTCATAAGGATGTTTTTCTCAGATTGTAATTGTAAAAAAATTGGAAATAACTAACCCATTATTAAGGGTTGGTTACTAAGAGATCAGTTAGATTAAATATCATAGAGCCACATAGTGGAATACTAGATGGCTCTTAGAGATGATGTTATATAATCTACTATATAAATGAAACAAAGGAAAAGAATCATGTGATCATATCAATTGATGAAAA